GGGGATCCGTGTAAAATCACGGGGCGGAACAACGAGCCCCTCCCCAGAGGGCGGCGCCGCTGCTGAGGATCCCAGCTGGCTGGGAGTTCTCTTGACAGGCCCATTAATCACTTCCGCCTCCCGAGCGAGCGGCTGGGACGGGGCAGCTGGGTTGTGGGAAGCCACGTCCGGCTCCCCAGACAATCTCCAAGGGCTGTTGGGTAGCAAGGGCCCGATGCTCCAAGGCACTATGCCCACCCAGCGCACTGAGCTTTCTTGTGACTCTGCTCCCAGCTCGCTGTCGCTCTGTGCCTCAGTTTCCCCTTGGCTGGGGATAGTGATCCTGCCTCGTCTGTTACACTGTGCGCTCTTTGTATCAAGGACTGTCTGATACAAATGACGCAGAGCAATGGATATGGATGGGGTTGGACAGGAGGCAGCTGGGGCGGGGGGGAAGCCTGTGGCATCTCCTCATTTGCCCTGCCAGCCCAGCCCCATCGGCCCAGACTCTGTGCCCAGGCTGAGAAGCCCTCCCCCCCCCCGGCCCCGGTGCTCCGTTTATAAGGGGGGCTGGGCTGCTGACACAATCCGCCTCTTCCACCCACTCCCCATCTGTCTGCCCCTTCTGTCTGCCTCGCTCTCCCCTGCCCCCACCCTTCCTGAGCTCCCCCCATCTTTTCTCCCCCTCTCTCACGCCTTCCTCTTCCCCATCCCTCCCCTCCACATCTCCTCCTACTCCCCTTTAAGAGAAACCAATCCATTTAAATCCCACCAATGGCGTGGGGCCGAGCCAGGCTCGCTTGGGGATTGGTCGGTGGGGGTGGGGGAAGACGAGCTCCGCCCCCCCTCGGGCCTGTCCCATTGAATAAAAGTGGCCGGGAAGGCGGAGGTTGTAGCTTGTGATTGAGGCTGACGGATGGATGGGGTGAGGGGCTGGACAGGGGCTTTGTGCTGCCCGGTCTCCCCACTGATCCTCCAAGCAGGGCCAAGGGGTTCTTCTGGGCAGCCCCCTCCCCGGGCTCCAGTGCTGCTGGTCCCCTGCTCCGAACAGCCTGGCTGCTGGGAACAAAGCCAGCCATCTCCGGGCTCTGTGCGCAGGACTGAAAGGGGGGGACAATTGTACCCAGGCTCCGAGCTCAGGGCCCCCCCAAATGTCTGTAACATCTGTGTAACTAAAGTGAAATGTGAGGGGCTGGGGCCCCACGAACGCAATTTACCAGGGTCCCAAATGTCTCTTGACGGGCTGGCAAACGTGGCGTGGTGGGCAACTGGTATGCTGGGGACGGGGAAGCTGGCCCCACGACCTGGGCTGGAGCGGAGGGGTGACTGGTATGGGGCGGGCACACGTGGCCAGAGCAGGATGATTCAATGGGCTTTTCCCACGGCTGATTCCTGTCATCTCCCCCGCCCCCACCTCCTTTAATATCCAGCTGGGGAGAGAGAGATGGAAGGAGTAGGGGGACCTCTGTAGGGTACATGTGGGGACACCCAGGCACAGTGTGTATCCACCTATCCAGGGCCTAGCACGCCGCTGCGTCTGTCGGCCTATCAGTCACCTAAACACCCCTATCTACCCCTCTAACCCGTACCCCCACCTTCCCTATGACTCTCCGCTGCCTAGCTGGGGCCTGTAATTTTGCCAGCTTTCTCCCTATGCCTATAGACATATACACATGTATATCGTATATTACGTGTATCTTCTGTCCATCCAGGTGCTGGCATCTATCTAATCTATCTATCTATCTATCTATCCCCAGACACCCCTTCTATCTGTCTATCTATCCCCATACACCCCCTCTATCTATCTATCCCCACACACCCCCTCTATCTATCTATCTATCTATCTATCCCCAGACACCCCCTCTATCTATCTATCTATCCCCATCCACCCGCTGTATCTATCTATCTATCTATCTATCTTACACACCCCTCTGTTCATCTCTGTTACCTACACATCTATTTGTCTCAATCCTGCCATGCCGGCCTCCATCTATTACCTCCATGTCTAACGTGCATTAGCAGGGCCCGTAACGGCAGCAGGTGCCCTCAGCTTTTCCATCTTTGCTCAACACCCGGCCAGGAGAGGCTGGAACTGGAGTAACTGGGAGTTCCCCCCACAGCCCGCACTACTACCCTGCTTTCCACAGCACCCCCTGCTGGGAGAAGCAGGTAGCTGGGAACCCCCCAATCCAAAGTTCTTGTCCTGGTCTCTATAGCACCCCCTGCTGGGAGAGGCTGGAACTGGAGTATCTGGGAGCCCTCCCCACACACAGCTTGGGCTCCTGCCTCGCTCCCACAGCGCCCCCTGCTGGAAGTGACCAGAACTGGTGTTGCTCCCCACAGCCAATGCTCACATCCTGCACACTACAGCGCCCCCTGCAGGGAGAGGGTAGGTTCTGGGTCTGGCGTAATTATCAGCTCCCCTCAAGCAATGTACTGATGTCCTTCTGCGTCCCAGTGGGGGTAGGCTGGTGCCTAGGTTCAGCCCAGAGAATTTATTCCAAACTTCCCTTGCACTAGTGTCATGTTTTTTTTCTAAAATAAAGGTTTCCTTGAGATGCAACCTAATTCCCCCAGCTGTCCTCTCAAGCAAATAACTGTAAGGGACAGCCACTACCTAAGATCTGGTTATGAGTTTATAGACAGCGAACGTGTCTTCCCCCCCCGTTCTAGCTCTCCCGTGCCACCTCCTTGGAGCGCTCATTTCTCCAACCTTTCATCATTTCTGCTAATCTCCTTAGGACTCGCTGCAATTTGTCAGTTCAGGTGCCCGCGGGGAGGGAGGAGAGCGTATGCATGGTTCAGGGGATAAGTAACCGGGACTTGGAGCTTCTAACAACGGTTTTACATTCACTCTAGCACGGCTCACAATCGGTTGTCATCCGACGGCCCGTGTGGTATGAGTTAGTGTGGTCTCAGACCAAGCATAATTTTTGTCTCTATAAAAATAATGGAACATGTGTGAAGTGGGGAGAGGGGGAATTTTCCGAATGTAACAACCCCACACATCACCTTTTGGCTGGGCTTGAATACAGGACCCTCAGTAACAACAACAACAACAAAAGCATAAAGAGGTGATGGGGCCTAGTGGTTAGGGCGCAGCTCAGGAGAGCTGGGTTTTCCTCCCGGCACTGACATTGAGAACAAGTGTAATCCCTCCTGCTTTCCTGTGCGTTACCCAACGGAGGATGTCGGGAGGAATGATTGATTTATTATTGCGGTAAGTAGCACAGTGGCACCAAGAGACCCCACCGAGATCGGGGGGCCTGGCACACCAGACGCCATCGGTCAAAGATTCACGTTTTTGCTTAAAAAATTGGTTTGTTTTAGAGAACTGTAAAATGTTCAGGTTTACATTAACCCCCCCCCCACACACACCAAAAACCAACCAGCCACATCTTTCTGTGAGCAGTTCCAATGAAAATGGAAAAAAAACCCTAAAAATTCCCCACATTGAGAACAATGGAGAATCCTCATTGAGAACAATGGCCATTGCCCCCATTGAGAACAATGGAGAATCCCCCCCATTGAGAACAAGGGCCACTGCCCCCCATTGAGAATTATGGAGTATCCCTCCATTGATATCAATGGCCACTGCCCCCCATTGAGAATTATGGAGAATTCCCCCATTGATATCAATGGCCACTGCCCCCCATTGAGAATTATGGAGAATCCCCCCATTGAGAACAATGGCCATTGCCCCCCCATTGAGAACTATGGAGAATCCCCCCATTGATATCAATGGCCACTGCCCCCCATTGAGAACTATGGAGAATCCCCCCATTGAGAACAATGGCCATTGCCCCCCATTGAGAACTATGGAGAATCCCCCCATTGAGAACTAGGGGAGTTGCAAGCACCATGAGTAAATCTGGCCCTTCGGTCAGCATGGCACAGCTGCCCTGGTTTTTTGCCCAGTCATGTACACCAGCACACACTGGCTGTGGAATACAACCTCTCTGATCTGGGGGCGTCTACACCCACTTTGGCCCTCACTCCCTGCTGCAAAGGATGACCCAAAGTTCAGGGCAAGGGACGGGTGCATCAGAGCCCAGACTAATGGAACTAGGTGCTTGGGCCAAGGCTGCTCCCTGGGGGAAGGACTTGCAGGATTGGGCTTGACCCTGCAAAACAGAAATGAATGGAACAGCTGAAGCCCCTGATTGAATCCAGGGGCCCCCGAACCTGCAAACTAGCCCAGCACGCCATGGGGTCAGTCTCCATGGCTCCCTTTGCAGGACAGAAGCCATGTAGGGTGACCAGATGTCCTGATTTTATAGGGACAGTCCCAATATTTGGGGCTTTCTCTTATATAGGCTCCTATTCTCCCAACCCCACCCTGATTTTTCACATTTGCTGTCTGGTCACTCTAAAGCCCCGAGTGGTGCCATTGGAGTCACGCAGCCAGAGTCAATATTTGCAGGATCGGGGCCCTTATTTTCTGCCATCAGTCATTATTTTCAGCCTGTGGGGGGGTCTCTCTCTGTGGCTTTACCCCCATCGTCCCCCTTCGCCTCCAAGCCTCAAGGGACTTAACCAAGCAGCAGGCTGGACACACCGATGCCCAGGGACTGCGCCAGGTTAGGAATCCATCTCCTTCCCCCTCCCCTCTTGCTTGTGAGAAAATCACAGGAAAGTCGCGTGCAATAATTTCAGTCCCCCCCCCCCAGCTGAAATCTGGGAGGGCTGGATGGCCCCTTCCTCTGCCAGGGATCTTACAAAAACCGAAAGCTGCTAGACACTGCTCTTCCCTCCCCCCGTCGCCTGCTCTTTCCCTTTAACACCGACACACTACAACAAAATGCGGGGGGGCTCTGGGAACTTCATCTCGGAGACAATGGGAGCGCTGGAGGGAGAGGGAACCGGTTCCTAGAACAGCCTGGGGGGGCCGGGCTCCGGGACTGGAGTTCACACACACGCACACACACACACACACGCAGGCTGGCCGGGGGAATCTGCAATTTCCCAGCCGGAGTTTTTTATTTGTAACCTTTCGCAGGCGGCTCCAAGTGCGGGGAGCCGCAGCCTGGGACACGTCGGGCATTTCCCGTGGATTTGCGCCGGGGGGGTTTGGGAAGCGACGCTTTTTGCTTTCCCAGTTGCTGGTGTTGCGAGGAAGAAAGTGTGTGTGGGGAGGGAGACAAAGCCCACAATTCAGTTGTGTGTGTGTGTGGGGAGGGAGACAAAGCCCACAATTCAGTTGTGTGTGTGTGTGTGGGGAGGGCGGTGGGGAGCTAACAAAAGGCAAAGGAAGATACAAAAGAGAAACTGCGCCCTGCGTTGGAATCGAATTGGCCGCTGCCTGGGCTGGGCGCTGCAATGGTGAGTGAAAAACACGGTGTGAAGCCGGCTTGAGCGTCGGATCAAAGTTTGCATCCACCCCCCGAAAATGCAGAGCGGCTCCTGCTCTCCCATGGTCGGGGTGAGCCCCACGCAGGAGGGGGGGGGGCTGGGAATGGCGGGGAAGGTTTACAAGAGGAGCTTCGTCCTTAACACGGGGGGTGGGTTGTTTGTGGGCTTGTATCATGGGCATGATTTTAATTGTTGCTTCTCCCCCCCTCCCCCCCAACACAAAAAGGCCTTAGAAGCCAGGGACTTTCCTGGGGCTGTGGCCAGGTGGGGAATGCATGCGGTGGGGAAGAGCTGGGGGATGGAGAGGGAAAGATTTTTTTTTTTAAGGAGGGATCCTGATCAGATGAAAAGTGGGCTGCTATTTATTTCCCACCTCTTCTGTGTATGTGTGTGTGTGGTTTATTTTGTTTGTACGGGAGGGGGGACATGGTACATGGCTCATTTCCTCGCTCCCTGGCCTGTGCAGATGGAGCATTTTCAAGAGGGGGGTTATCTGCAGGCTGCATGGTCCCTTTTGAATGATCAAAACCACCCTTATATTGTGTGCCCCCCCCGCCCCCGGGTGGAATAGATACCACATGCATTGTAGGTGAGGCTGGAGGGATCAAAGTGGGGACACAGGGGATCAGGGGAGGAGGGGGGACGTGGTCTGAGTATATTCCTAGGTCATTTTTTGGGGGGGAGGCTTTGATTTAAAAATAATTTGCCCTGGAAAAATGAAATGTGAAATTCATGGTGTGAATTTAAGTGCCTGCCAGGTGGAAAAACGAGGAGGTGTTTGAGACCCTCCCCCCATACAGAAAAGCTGGGTGTGTTTTAATGTCTGGGTTAGCCATGCGGTGTAGGGCTGGTCTGTGCATGATTATAGCTGCACGAGTGCAAAAAGTGGCACGCGCTGGTGTAAACAGTGGTGTGCCCCCATCCAGGTGAAATCAGGGTAAGCCATCACTGGTGTAAATTGCCCTTTTTTTTTTTTTTTTTTACACTAGCGCTAGTGTGTCTACACTAGGGCTTTGCATTGGGGTAACTAAATCAGTGCAAGAACTCCCCAGTCTAGACAAGACTTGAATGCCCCTGTGGTGCAGAGGGGGAATTTCTCAGAGCTGGTGCAAATTCAGAAAACCCTAGTAGCCTCAGGTATCATTGCAGGATTTGTGCAAACGAAAGATGGTGACCTGACCTGGCCTGGCGATTGGGCTAATATCACCTTGATTTGGGGCAGGCTGGGGGACTTTGTAGCTTTTTCACCCGGGGTGATAGTCCCCTTTTTTGAGGCAGTAGCAAAATAAGTTTTGATTGGGGGTGGGGAGAGGTGTGAATGTTTGATGCTCCCAGTCACATTCACTGGGATCCGCCTGTCATGCTTCCCTCTGGCAGCTTCGCTCGCCCGGATCGGTGAGAGCGAGGGGCTGGATTCTCATCCTGCTTGCACCAGCCCTACTCCGGTGCACCAAAGTTAACTACTAAGGAGTTACTCCCGATTTACCCCAGGTGTGAGACCAGAATCCGGCCCCAGGTCTCTGTCTGGGTTGGGAAGCTTTTCTCATCCTGGAAGGGGGTGGGAGTTGATTTCCCCTTCAGGCCTTGAAGTAATAACTGAAGAGGAGGTTTAAAAAAAAATTAGCTTCACCGGGCCGCTGGGGTTGGCTATTGCTTAATCACAGCAGTTCTGGATTGTGTTGGGACTGATCTGGGCTCGGAGGCAGCCGGAGCTGATCCTGATCTCCCTTAACACCAGCGCGACTCCCCTGGAGTTACTGCTGCTCTGGGCTCCGAATCCCTCTGACTTAATGAACAGATGACTTCATTTCGATGAGGAGATGGCTCCTTTCCTGGCTGGGAGGCTCAGGGGAGCCTGGTTGCCTGGGGTGTTTCGTTTGTGGTGCTGCTGACGGGAAGAATAGTAATCCAGGGTTCAAGTGATGTCAGAGGCCTTCAAGCAAAACTCTACTGAACTTTACTTCATGGATTTCAAGGCTGGAAGGGATGCGTCGGATCATCTGGCCTGACCTCACGCATTATACAGGCCAGAGAACGTCACTCAGTGATTCTTCTATTAAACCTACGAGCATGGGGTGGAATTTGCTTTCCGGGGGAGAACTAGTGACCCTGGCCTGGCCTGGAAGAGCTCCGTGCTTGTGGCATTGCTAGTGAGCTGTAGGTGAAGCTGAATTGCACATGGATCCGTGTGGGGTGAAGCCCTGGCTTTGGTGCGCGTTCATGCAGAGGAGAGATGACCAAGGCTTGCAGGGGGGCTGGAACTAGGGGGGCAGCCTGGCTGGAAGTGGTTTCCATCCTGTTCCGGGTTTACAGTTTGGTTCAGTGGTTCTCAGCACCCCAGCAAGACCCAGTGTCCCAGTGCCCCTGAACGCTTGTTAAATCAAACGCAGAGCTCCGGTTACCTGCCTTGGGGAGGCGAAGAACCTGCAAAGGCAGGGAGCCGTGGAGTCTCATGGCTCAGCGAGGGTCCCACCAAGTGCGCTGCGGAGAGGAGATGTGTGGCGTATTAGAGGGGAGAAATGGTGAGCCTTCTATGAGTGGCTGCATGGTCTAGAGGGTAGGGCACTGGCCTGGGAGTCAGGAGACCTGGGTTCAGTTCCTAACTCTGCCGCTGCCCTGCTGTGCCCTCTGTGCCTCAGTTTCCCTTCCTGCCCTTTGCTGGGCTTGTCTCTTTCAAATGGAAGCTCCTTGGGGCTCTTAGTGTCTCACTGTGCGTGCAGCGCCATGGGTCTCTGATCTTCTGGGGGGGGGGGGTCTTGGAGCTCGACTGTAAGGTTCATCCTGTGGAGATGCAAAGCAGGGAGTTATGAAGGTGAATCCATTGCCAAAGGCACATGGGCTGCGTGAATCGTGGGAGCGGGAGGAGAGCAAATAGGCTGCTTGTGTGCCTAGACCTGGGGATCCTGCAGGCTGCTGTGCTGCTTATTTAGGGCCTGCCCCTGCAAAGGGCTCCATGTGAGGTGGACCCCTGTCCTATATGGCACCCCACTGACAGGGTCCAATAGGGGCCTGACTCGTCATTGTCCTGCCCTTTGTGTGGTTGTCTGCAGCCGTGCGAAGGGAGCGTATCGCTCTTGTGATCTG